AGGACAGGGCCAAAGGGAAGAGTGTCCTTTTCTGGCCAGCAAACTGGCCCTTGGCTTGTGAATTGGTTTCTAGTCAGGCTTCTGCCATTTTCATTAATCACAAAAGCAGGGATGAACAAACTGAAGCACTGAGAGAGGAGGGTATTGGCAGAAGATTATTAACCAAGACTAGACTGGAATGTGGTGTTCTGTATCCAAATGCCTGGAATTCCCTACCCACTTTTCTTTAGCATGGCCCAGCCCTGGCCTATATACGACCAAGGATGGGGAACCAGCCAAAATGTATATCTCTGAAGCTGCCACCCACTGTTTCTAGGTCAAGAAGTGTTTTCCCTTCCCCCATTGATACCAAAACAGAGAGATTCGGGAAGGGGGTGGGAGGACCGGAATGACAGGAGCCATGAGAAAGAGCTAAATCTTGAGATAGAGGGGGCATGAGGAAACTGAGCTGGAAGCTACCTCTACCCCTCTTCTGGCCCCTTTCAGCTTGTCCTGCACCCCATTCCTCCCCATCCTCTTGTGCATCCCAAATTTATGTTTCTCTGCATATCTGGATGGAGGTGGCTGTCCTTACTCCATAGAACTTGCAGCAGCCTTGTATGATTAGAATTCCTCATTGCATTCCCCCGCCCCATACCCCTGAGCTGGTTGGTGGGGGCTGATATTCAGGAATGGAGAACTCCTCCAGAGGTAATGGATGGGGAGAGTGGCCCACTGGGACTGGGGCCTAATGCCCCCATTCTATAACCCTCTACATCCTGAGAGTCTGTCTTAGTCTCCTTTCTAATACCATATGAATCAGATGAACCCTAGTCAAGCCTAAGAGGTGAGCTTTCTGAGGGTCTTTGCCCTGGCTCCCCAGGATTTGGGTACTGTCTCTCACCCTGGCTGGCTCCAGAGCAAGTCTTCTGCTGGTTCCTCTCACCAAGTTTCTGATCACTTCTCCCCTCCTCAAGCCCAAGGTCAATGCTCCATCCCCTGGCCACAATCCCACAGCAGATCTTATTAATCCTAACCTGGTCCACTGCAGTGGCCTCCTGACTTTTTTCACTCAGACCCTTCAGTCTAATCCACACAGCGGCTAAGGAAATCTTTTTGAAATTCAATCAAATCACTTAGGAAAATATCCAAACTCTGATGTTTAAGACTTCTACTTTCTGAATACTTCTCACATCCCTGTTTCTATTTTCCTCACACACACACACTTATGAGTATATTTTGAAAAGCATTTGAAGAAATACTACCTTCTGTTCTAGGAACAGCTGCACAGCCCATCCCTGAGAGGGGAGGCCTGCCTCGACCCAGCCTTAAAGAAAACCACAGAGGCAACTGGGTAATTTCCTTTCCTGCTATTGTCCGACTCAGTGGGACTTCTGCTGACACTCTCCCCTCTCTGGCACACACCCCTGGTCCCAAGGAACAACATGTTTTTTATCTTAAGGCTAGCCATTTACTTCACCATGCCCGTGGATTTTTCCAGCAGCTTGAGGGAAGGGGAGAATCTTTTTTTTCTCAACGCACTTTATCATTTTGATGGAATACAGGGGAAAACAGAGGCTGATCTCTTTTTTCTATACTGAGATATAATTGACAGAACACTATATTTTTCAGGTATTAGTTTCAGGTATACAGTGTAATAATTGGATATTTGTATATATTGCAAATGATCACCATTTTTAAGTCCAGTTAACATGTCACCATACATTGTTACCAAAAAAAATTTTTTTTCTTGCAATGAGAACATTCAAGATCTCCTCTCCTTGCTACTTTCAAATATGCAATGCAGTTTTGTTAACAATAGTCACCATGCTGTATATTACGTTCCCATGACTTATTATATTTTGTAACTGGAAATTTGTACCTTTTGACTCCTTCACCCATTAGGGGAGGGGAGAGTTTATGACCCTTAAGTTGCAAATCCTGAGCTTGGCTGGGCTTGGGGTTGGGTGAGGAACAGCAAAAGACAGAAGAGGAGGTCCTGTCCCTGGGAGTCCCCAGTCTAAAGAATACAAAGAAATCGTGCCTCTGTACTCTAGATCCTGGTGTTTTTCCCTCCCTCTCTAGCCCCCTTTTCCCTCCTCAGGGTGTCCAGTTGAGATCTTCCTTTTTCACAATCCTGAGCAGGAGGTGGATTGGTAGGGCAAGGGAAGGGAAAGGAGTAGGGTTCGAGAAAGGTACAGAGATCTCGCTGGGCACCTATAGAAGAGCCTCAAGGGGGCAGCAGCAGGGCTGGCACAGCCCTCCTCTAGAAAAGAAGGGATAGGTTGGGACAATGGAGATGTAGGCCTCTGTTCCCCAAACATGGGGGTCCCATCTGAGGTCTCATACATACCATCACAAGCACTTCAATTGAAATTCTATCATCAAATAGCTATCATTGTAACTTCATTCCTTTAGGTCTTCAGTTCAGCAAAGAAGTGCCTACTATGGGGGTGTAAGGTATTGCATTTGGGAGTCAAGAGGGCATTTTAGTTTTCCAGAGCCCACCCTGGTGGGGACAAGTGTGTGTTAAATGCTTCTCCACCCTGGGCGGTGGAGGTGGAGTTCCAAGAGGAGCCTCTTCAGGTATAGGTGGGGAACAGGATAGTATTTATAGGATGGGTGCTTATTAGGGAAGGCTTCCAGGAGGACATGCTCTGTGGAGGGCCTCAGATTGAAAGGAGAATTGTAGTCTCCTTCCCACATCTCTGAGCAAGCTGACCAGAAGCAAAGTGGGGATGATGACAAAGCCTACTCACCCACCATGTCCTAGTCTCAGTCCCACTTCCCCCCACCTGACCCACCTCTTATAACATGCCCTGGTCCCACCCTATCAATTCTTCCTGCAGAGAGTAGATGAAGATAATTTATGGGGGTCCTCTCTCCAAAGTACCTGTGTTTTGGAGGCACCTGGGTGGCTTAGTCGGTTAAGCATCTGACTTCAACTCAGGTCATGACCTCACAGTTCATGAGTTTGAGCTCTGCATCAGGCTCTCTGCTGTCAGCACAGAGCCCACGTCAGATCTTCTGTCCCGCTTGCTCCTGCCCCTCCCCCACTCATTCTCTCTCTCTCTCTCTCTCTCTCTCTCTCTCTCGCTCTCGCTCTCTCAAATCTACATATATATAAACTTTTTTAAAAAGGTACCTGTGGTTTTTTAAAGTTCATTTATTTATTTTGATGGGCAAGGAGCAAGTGGGACAGAGGATCTGAAGTAGGCTCTGTGCTGATAGTTCTGTGGGGCCAGAACTCATGAACTGTGAGATTATGACCTGAGTTGAAGTCAGACGCTTAACTGGCTGAGCCACCCAGGTGCCCCCAAAGTACCTGTGTTTTAATGGAAAACTCTGTAAGGCCCAGAGGAATGACTTTAAAGCCATACGAGGTATTCTAAAGTCTTCCCTCGGGCATTTCATCCTCAAAGCACCCCACATATAGGCAACTGCCAGGGTCATCTACCTTCTTAAGCCTCAATTTCCCCAGCTGTAAAAATGAGCAGCAAAATTAGGTCATTTTCCAGTCCCTTCCAACTCCAACATATAAGGTTTTAACATCTTGAGCTTCGACAGCCTCCCATGCTGAGAGCATGGGGCTGGCCAGCCCTTGTTAGGAGGCAGCTAGCCTGTGGTTTGGCACCACTGCCCAGCCGGCATTTATTAAATCAGTGGGATGCGGTCCCTTCTGGCCTGGAAAGAGAACATTAAGCTCCAAAAACTTCCTGCAGCAGGCCTCCTTCAGAGAGCGCTGCTCTGAGGGGTGAGGAACAAAACCATTCAGGTCCTTGGCAGTGCTCCAAGATACTGTTTGCTAGTATTTTTGCCCTGTCTACACGGAGCCAGTGACTAAAAACATCTGGACGCCTGTTAAAGACTTTGGTGACTTCTCTCTCCTTCCTTCAGGGCTGGCTGTTCTTGACCTTGGTAATCCTAGTTGACCTTTACCAATGCCCCTTTGCATCCAATCTTCTGCACTTCGTTGGGCAACAACCCTCTAATAAAATCCACATGAATCCATCTGCTAACAGCTCCTGGAAGGGCTGTAGGATCTAACACCTGCCCTGCATTCCTTGAGCCCTAGTAGCTAGGGAAAACAGGGCTGAGACCCAACTCTTGCACCTCTGGGTCTTAGAGTTGAATTGGAGAGAAAAGGAGGAGGTAGGAAGAGAGAAACATAGATGATGAGAGCTTGCTAAAGGTGGAGATGGCAGCTGCAGGCAAGGAGTGCACAGGTGTAGTGATGAGGCTGCTGGGTAGCCTGGCAGAGTCCCCGTGGCCTGGGCCTGCCTCTTGCCAGTGACTTCAGTCATGCTGACAAGGCCCATGCTGACTCTGGGAGGCAGGACTGGGCTGACAGGTTGGGGTCCACATGACACTAACCTGGTGTGCCAGTGTGATCTCAGTGTCCCTCATCTCCCTCTTGTGACCTGGGATATGTCACAAATTCCTTGGGTCTCTATCTTTTTAAATTATTTTTTAATGTTTTATTTATTTCTGAGAGAGAGGCACACACAGTGTGAGCAGGGGAGGGTCAGAGAGAGAGGGAGACAGAATCTGAAGCAGGCTCCAGGCTCTGAGCTAGCTGTCAGCAGAGGCCGATGTGCGGCTCAAACCCACGAACCGTGAGATCATGACCTGAGCCGAAGTCAGACGCTTAACCGGCTGAGCCATCCAGGCACCCCCTTGGGTCTCTATTTTAAGGAAGCATCTACTAAGCACCTACAACATACGTGCCTGGTGCCAGAGAGAGGGTAGATTTAGTGAGTAGAATAAACCCAATTCCTGTGCTCTAGTCCCACTTGCTTGTAGATCCTGTCCAACTACAGGTCGCAAAGTCTCAGGAACGCTGTCAGGTGGGGTGAGAGTGCTTGGAGTTCCAGAGGCAGGAGAGTCACCCTGACTCCTCCCTTAGCTTCTCTGGGATATAGTGCATGGACACAGGATTCCCTCTGGCTAAGGTCAGAGCTCCATTCCACTTGAGCTTTCTCCCCACCAAGGGCAAGAGTCCAAGAAATAAAGACAACAGGTTAGATGGACAGATAAGCTCCCTGAAGTTTATTTGTAAATTACAAGGATGCACTTACTGCACGTAGATTTTTTTCTTTTTAATTCCTTGTTCGCCTTCCTTTCCACCCAGCTCAAATTTTTGTTTGCGTTCCTCTGAGAGTCCTCAGCTGATTTTACTAACCTATCTGCTCTTTGCTCTGATGAGCCAAAGACCAACACAACCTTCCCCGGAGTTGACAACGGTTCATCTCCGAAGGCCCTCAAGGATCCTACTGAGGTAAATGACTGTGCTCTGGTCAGCTCAGGAGGCTGTGGAGCAGAGAAACTGGTGTCCTTCTTGGAGCGCTGCCTTCATCTCCTTGAACTGAGCCAACTGGCAGGCCGCGTCCAGCCCCAGCCAGCGGTAGGCTTGGTGCTCATGGGAGAGGCGGATCTCCACATCGCAGTCCTTCACCTCCGCCAGCCAGTAGATGACTGTTTTAGGCTTCTTCCTGGCCACATAATTGAGCTCCCTTCTGAACCCCTCAATGATGGTCAGCTGGCCTGCTTCTATGCCTGCTTCCTCTTGAGTCTCCCGCAAGGCTGCTTCTAAGTCATTTTCTCCTGATTCCACATGGCCTGGTTAGGAAAAAAGAGGAAGAGATAATCTTCAACAAAGGTGGAATTTTCAGGTCAGATGATTTAAAGATGGGGGTCTTCGTTGACTTTTTTGGATGTTGCTAAGCTAACGGGGGTCTAGAGAATGGCAATATCCTAACATGCTTAGGAATGGGGTACAGAACAGGTAGCGTCTGGGCAATTCCTCCTTCCCACTCCCTCTTCTCTGCAGAGAGCTAACAGACCATGGGCTTAGCAAGTCTGGTCTAGAAGGCTGCTATTCAGTGGTGAGAGAGATGGTCTCCCTCAGATCTCTGCTTTCTTATTCTTTGGAGCTCTCCTCATCCCTTGTTCTCAGGGAGACATTTCCCTTGGAGACCCTAAATTGATTTTCCGAAGGAAGGGCAATTCCTTCTTGGCAGGTGAGAGCTGGCTAAAGAGGGAGCACTTTGCCTGCAATCCACAGTGAGGACTTAACACTGTCTTAGTTGGTCCCTGAAGTCCCAGAACCAACAGACAGGCTCCAAACCCTGCACTGCAGCACCGGCAGCTGTTTCCAAGTAGCTATCAAGGCTTTTCCAAATTGTTTTCATCTTTCTAACTGAGCAAGGCCAGATTCCAGTTTCATAGGGAAAGTCCTGATGGGAACTTAGACTAAGGACAAGCTGAGAGCCAGTTCTAAGAAAATTTGTTGGCAAGACTCAAACCCAAGCAGACAGCTGCCAAAAAACTGTTGTAGGAGAGCCTGAAGCTCTGCAGACTGGGAGCAGCCCTCAGTTTGGCCTCTAGGCCCTCCTTGCAAATTCTCAGCTTGCCCAGAGGGGCCAGGAAGGACAGGGAGGGGCCTGGCAGCCTCTGTCAACACGTGGTTCCAGCAAGTTGCTGGGGGCCTCCTGGTTCAGGAGATCATGGGGAGCAGGAATTGTTAGCTGTTCCCTTCTTGGTTCAGAGACAAGGGGACATCCAAGCCCTCCTCCTTCCCAGGGGCTCTCCCAGCAGTGCCCTGAGTCAGCTGTTGCTTCACAGCTCCCACAGAAAGCAACCAGGAGTTGGGGCTTAAAACACCAATCTAGCTCACGGCTTCTGGGAATCTTCTCTCTATAGCACTTCATGTAGCTATGTACACAAAGCCAGGTAGGTACTGCGTCGGGGCGGGAGGTGGGGGGAAGGTGAGAGGGACGCTGGTGCTGAGAGGTGATGCTGATCCCCACCTGCCCTCAGAAGTGTGGGGAGTCTCTGAACATGCCCTTCCCAATAGCATCTGTGCTGCATTCTACCCATGAGTGTTAATAGGGTGACTTCTCCTCCAGGCCCGGGTGGGACAAAATTTGGAGAGGTCCTTTGAAATCTTTCAGTGAGAGGTACTATGCAGGATGACATCGGTGATCAGGAGACAAGTGTGAAGATTTCTATTCAGAGTGTTTGTGACACTTCTGTCCCTCTCTTTCACCTTATTTCTCCTTAGTGAAATGCAAAAGTGCAAAGTTTATTTCCTGTTCCCATTTCCTTATTCTTATCCAACTTGGATCATGCCCTCCCCCATGGCACTCCCCTTTAAAGTTCCTGCTCCCTTCTATCTGGGGGCTGTTTGCTTGGGGCTCCTGACCTGCAACCCAGTAATGGCTTGACCCCAAGGCCCCCAATTCCCAGCCCAGTGCCTTTTCTCCTACCCAGCCATTCACCACAGAGACTGGCACTCCAGTGAATGTTAGTCACACACAGGAAAACAGGTGCCGCTTCTGCCCTGGAATTCAATCACCAAGTTCTATTTCCAGCTCTGCTCTGGCCTGGCCTGGAGACCATGTATGTAGAAAGGATCAAGGGCTCCTGGTTCCAACCCCCGCCCCCCCCCTCACCCCCACCCCGCAACACAGCCACTGGAACATAAGCCTTGTGGAGGGCCTGGCAGAGTGGCTTTCTGAGCAACACTCAGCATTTTCCCGAGAGCCAGGCCCTCTGCCTTGCACCTTTGGGAGGAGTCCAGTGATGAATGCCATCTGAAGCCTGCAGCAGTAGAAACTCAATCACAGGGTTGTCCACCTTGGGAATGAGGCGTCTTCGGAAAATGATCAAGCCACTCGCTCTGAGGGCCATGGTCTATCTGAGGACTTAAGGAAGAAGAAGCGGGACAATGGGAAGTTACACAAAACAGGAAGATCTATCCTGTGGGCAGTACTCTAGTGCTGGGGAGTAGCACAGACCAGCTAACAGTGACGTCACCAGCTACAGAAAAAGGGAGCATACCGAAGATCAGATGGGGGAAACCAGGAATCTGAGGCTGCTTTGTGTGTGCTGGTAGGACCGTGGCCCCTACCCTGTCAGGGCAGCTCCATTCCAACTCTTTCAGGTCTCCTTGTTAAGACACAGGGGCTGGGGCCGGTGTGCATGCATTAAGAGACTAAAGGTCCTCAGAAGCAAACCCACTGAAACTGGAGAGATGCTGGGAATGGGAGAGATGAGGAACATTCTCATCAAACCCGTGGTTCCATTTCCTTCAGACTGTAGCCTGAGTCTGTGGGGCAGAGACCCCAGGAATGTGGTTTCAGATGGCTCAAGGGGTCACTGAGGGAAGGTAGTGTGGGGTACCCAAAAGCTTTTTGTTACTGATATTTTTAGTCTTATCCATGGTTTAGAATGTTACACATTCACATGATTCAAAATTCAAACTACAAAAAGGCACACACAGTAGAAAATCTCTTTCCTACCCGATCAGAAGCAAGCTAGTGTTATGGTCAAGAGTGTGAATCTGCAGCGTGGGTTCAAGCTCTGACTTTGCCACTTACTGTGTGATTAGCTCCTAAGTCTCATTTTCCTCAGCTCTAAGACAGGATAATAACAGTTCTACCTCAGGGGCGCCTGGGTGGCTCAGTCAGTTAAGCAGCTGACTTTGGCTCAGGTCATGACCTCATGGTTTGTGGGTTTGAGCCCTGCGTCTGGCTCTGGGCTCTGTGTTGACAGCTCAGAACCCAGTGCCTGCTTCAGATTCTGTGTCTCCCTCTCTCTCTGCCCCTCCCCCACTCACGCTCTGACTCTCTCTGTCTCTCAAAACTGAATAAACATTTTAAAAATTTAGTAACAGTTCTACCTCAAAGCGCTGCTGTGACTTAACTTTTGTAAAGTGCTTTAGGACAGTGCCTGGCACATAATAAGATTTCAATATGCACAGGAAAATGTCTGGAAGGATACACATCATTTATAGTATTTCCTGCAGGATGAGATGATGAGGAGACTTTAATTTTCCAGTCCCTATATTTCTGTATTGTTTGGAAGTTTACAGAAAATATTTATTATTAACTTCATAATCAGCAATCCTGTGAAGACTACAATTTTTTTTTTAAATATTTTTTATTTATTTCTAGGAGAGAGAGAGAGAGAGAGACAGCGTGAGCAGGGGAGGGTCAGAGAGAGAGGGAGTCACAGACTGAAACAGGCTCCAGGCTCTGAGCTGGCTGTCAGCACAGAGCCCCACGCGGGGCTCAAACCCACGAACCGCGAGATCATGACCTAAGCGAAAGTCGGACGCTTAACCGACTAAGCCACCCAGGCGCCCCGAAGACTACAATTTTTTAGCCTTTTCCATTTCAGTTACTTTTCCTTCCATTTCAGAAAAGAGTGTCAACAACAAACAACGACAAAAGAGAGGAAGGGAGAAGAGTAGAAATATCTGCAGAAGTGAAAAAACAACTCCTCTGAAGGGGGACATGTTATCAAGGTAACAAAATATATGGAAGATCTCTTATGTAAGAACTTGCTAAAGAAAATTTATCATTTGAAATTTTTTTTAATGTTTTTTTAAAATTTATTTCTGAGAGAGAGAGAGAGAGAGAGAGAGACAGCAAGACAGCGAGACAGCGTGAGCAGGGGAGGGTCAGAGAGTGAGGGAGACACAGAATCTGAAACAGGCTCCAGGCTCTGAGCTAGCTGTCAGCACAGAGCCTGATGGCAGGGCTTGAACCCACGAACCGTGAGATCATGACCTGAGCCGAAGTCGGACGCTTAACCGATTGAGCCACCCAGGCGCCCCAGAAAACTTGTCATTTGTTCAGTCAACAATATTTACTGAGTAGCTACTATGTTCTAAGTACATGCTAGGCCTTGCTCTCATGCAGTTTATATTCCAGTGGGAGAGACAGATCTTAATCAAATAATTAAGCAAATTAAAAAGTAATTGCCAATATGGTATGTGCTACAAGGGAAAAATGTGTAATGGATAACCTGACCTTGTCTGAGGGATCAAGGAAGGTTTCTTTGGAAGAAGGGATGTTTGAGTAGAGCAGTAGGGACGAGTAAAAGGAAAGCTGGCAATGAGAAAGAGAAGGAGAAGCGTGTTCCAGAAGGGGACAGCATGAATAAAGGTCCTGAGGGGGGATGGCAGAACAGAAAGAAAATCAGGTCTCTCAAATTCAGCAAAGGCCTGGGAGAGTGACCCAGGCAGGAAAAGACCCAAGTCAGCAGGGCTTCCTCTGCGAGACTCCAGAGCCAAAGAAGGAGCCGGGATGCTGGACAGCAGAGATGATGCAGAGAGAATGGCTGGAGCAGGAGGTGATGGCCTCCTCGGCCCTCTTGCTGTTACTCAACCAAGATGAACCTGCATCTGCAAAGGCACACAAATTAGACCCAAACTGAAACCCTTTCCAGCATAATTCTCAGAACTGTCAACACATAGTTTACCAAAAACCAAATCCACCCAACACTGTGATCTTTCCAAATATTTCTAAACCTATAATGAGTATTTAAGAATTGGAAATAATTTCTGGGGCGCCTGGGTGGCTTAGTCGGTTAAGCGTCCGACTTTCGCTTAGGTCTTGATCCCGCAGTTCGTGGGTTCGAGCCCCGCGTCGGGCTCTGTGCTGACTGCCAGCTCAGAGCCTGGAGCCTGTTTCCGTCTGTGACTCCCTCTCTCTCTGACCCTCCCCTGCTCACGCCGTCTCTCTCTCTCTCCTAGAAATAAATAAAACATTAAAAAAAAAAATAAAAAAAAAAGAATTGGAAATAATTTCAAGTGGGTTTTTTTTTTTAACTTAAAACATTTTTTTAAATGTTTGTTTATTTTTTGAGAGAGAAAGACAGTGCAAGTGGGTGAGGGGCAGAGAGAAAGGGAGACACAGAATCTGAAGCAGGCTCCAGTCTCTGAACTATCAGCACAGAGTCCAATGTGGGGCTGGAACTCACAAGCCATGAGATCATGACCTGAGCTGAAGTCGAAGCTTAACCACCTGAGACACCTAGGCACTCCTTAAGACTTTATTTTTAAGTAATTTCTACACCCAACGTGGGGCTTGAATTTATAATCCTGAGATCAAGAATCGCATGCTCTATAGACTGAGCCAGCTAAGTGCCCCTCAAATGGGGTTTTTGAAATGGTCTGTGTTCTCATGTACTGTTGGTAGGAGAGAAAATTAGCATATCCCTTAGGAGGGCAATTTGGTAATAATTATCAAAACATAAAATGCATATTTCCTTACACCTAGCAATTCCATTTCTAGGCACTCTGACATACACAAATACATGTTTAAGATATACACATAAGGATGTCAACACAACCTTGTTTGCAATATCAAAAAGGAAAAAAAGGCAGAAACAAATATCCATCAATATGGGAAGGTTAAAAAAACTGTATCTGTAAGATGGAATATTATGAAGCCATTTTAAAAAAGGAGGTAGGGCCAAATGTGCTGCTTTTAAGAGGATTTTCAGATGGGGCACTGGGTGGCTAAGCCGGTTAAGCTTCGACTCTTGATTTAGGCTCAGGTCATGATCTTACAGTTTCTGGGTTTGAGCCCTGCATTGGGCTCTGCGCTCACACTGTAGAGCCTGCTTGGGATTCTCTCTCCTCTCTCTTTCTCCCTCCCTCCCCAACTCTCATCCTCATGAGCTCATTCACTCTCTCTCTCTCTCAAAATAAATAAACATTAAAAAAAAAAAAGATTTTCAGACATAGTAAGTGAAAAATGTATGATTCAGAATAGAATGCATAATGCTATCCTGTTGGAGTTTTAAAATTTACATGTAAACTGGTAGCAGGCTTTTTAAAACATTATGTTCTATTTCCCTGCTCTCCCTATTTAAGCCAAAAACTTTCTCCATTCTGGAACCAGAAGGAAGCACCCTGTTGCCACAGTACTGGGGAACAAAGGGTTCAAACTGGTGGTTCCAGGTTTAGGCAGAAACAGGTACCAGATCCCATGCCCTCCTATCAAGATGCATATAGAGTATTATCAAGTTACTGGTGAAGGGCACCTTGCTCCTGCCTTGTGTTGAGTCCCATGGAATGAATGTCAGACCCCTAGATAAGCTTAGGGATCCAGGACTAGAGGGTGCTGCCTCAGACAGGAAGCTCCGGAGCATTGCTCTATATCACTGCCATCACCAGTGCTTCATGGGGAAAACAACATTGCCTCCATGGGGGTGGAGGGTAAGAAAGACAGGCCTAGTGTGACCACGTGGAGCCACTGGAAAGAGGGGAACAGGCCAATATTTTCCTATGGGGACATGGCTTAGGGCAGTGACAAGGGCATACCCTTATCACTTATCTTAGAAGACACCAATGTGTAGGGGTAACCATATCTAAGAACCAGACCCACCAATGGTTCATCTTAATGGACCAGAAGAGCTAGGATCAGATGTTCACTTTCTACCTATCCTATGGACCTGTGAAGAGGCTAGTTGTTCTAGAAAGGCAAAACTCCTGTTTACCCTTTCAATGGCTTGGCTTGAGCCAGCTGTTCTCTAGAATTTCTCTCTCCTTCCCCATACATGTTACTTCCTACTCATGCATTCAGATGCAGCTCGGTGTCACTTCTGTGAAGCCTTCTGGCTTCTAATCATTCCATCTTCTGGGCTTTTTACATGGCTCAAATAAACTTCCGTAGCGTTTGGTCAGAGAAGCAGAACACTATGAGGACATTAAGGATTTAGTATAGGAATTACATCTTGTGCAGTTGTGGAAGTTGATGGGGAAATCCATGCAACTCTGTCACCTCTGCATCTGGTGTTGTGCCTGAAGTCTCTCTGTGTCAGCAAGGCCAGCAGTTGGGAAGGAGAGCTGGATGTGAAGTGGAGGAGGGCAAGGAAAACTGTAACTAGAAAACAAACCAGATCCTATAAG